GACGAGCACCTATTCCTCTGCGGATTGTCAGACTATAGAAAAAAAGAGTCATCGCTCGCAGATGTGGTAATTTATTTCTTCATTCCCAATCGAATTGAGATACATGGCACAAGGGCAGCTATCAAGAATAGTATAGCAATATTTTCTTGCTGATTTGGGCATCAAGTGAAGTTCATAGGGCTGAAGGTATCTCAATATTGTCAAGAATGGACCAAAACTATAATTTAATTGAGAATATTTGAAATTCCCATTTAATTCGAGAACAGTACAATAACCTAGTCTATATAGATCATATTGTTAGAATTTTTGAGCTCAAATCAGGATATCAGTAGAGAAGAACAATATTCAAAGGAAATTATAGTTCGGAGGTCAAATCTATTATTATTCAAGTAAAATCGCTGACGGACAGAAACTGATGGTTTTGGATTTTTCCTCATCGAGGTGAATACACTAGTTTTTATGCTGAATCAATTACCACTACCGACATGAAAAGCGGACGGAAAAACCGACTGTTGTGGTTTTGACAGTGGACCGTGAAGAATAGTTTTCCCAATTTGCTAAAAAAAGTAAATCTTGAACATTTGGTATAATGTCTAAACTTCGTGAGTGGCAGTTCCAATCCAATCCAATCAATTTTGATTATTATTAGTTTAAGTTTCCCTGTTTTGTTTTTATTTGAGTTAGATGTATCTTGCTGATAAATTGGTCAATTTATTCCATGCCCTGATTGTTTTTATTCAAGATGAATAAATTTGTTAAGTGGAGTTCAATTCCATAAATATAATTTCCATAAAACCAGCGAGTAAGTTAGAGTTACGATCGTGGGTGTTAGAGACCCACTCGTGATAATATCTTGGAGAATTCGTATATAAAGGTGAGGAAACTGGCTCGTTAGGTTTTCAAGAAAATTATTAATTGAAATATCCTAGGTCTTTTCTTATAGTGAAATTTTCATTTTGGCCACCTTCCCACTCCTGCGGAAAATTTCTATTCATCAAGACGTAGTAATTAGTATGATTTTTCACCCTTTCTATAAAATACAGTAGTTTCATACCTGGTGACTGAGAACCAGTTTACCCACCTGTATCTTAATTCGTTGCTATTCTGAATGAATATTTAAAATTCGGTATATTGATTGGATTTTATGAGTGTATAAATTCCGCTAGTATCAGACCAAATCTGACACTTCCGGTTTGACAGGATCCAGGGGTGAGTACTAATCCTACCTCGAATACATGTAACTGAAGTTTCAAAATGAATATTATCTATTAATCTTTGGTAGAAGTCCATATTACTGAGATGTTAAACGGACATGTGTATGCCTTATTAGAAGTTCTACAATACAAACATTGGTGTGACAAATGTAAAAGTATTTGCTCCACTTACTTGGAGTCGGAAGAGTTTTTCTGTAGTTTTTCAGTCATAGTATATGTGCCTGCCGATGCCTATTGTCACAAGCTCATGTGTCAAGGGAAGAACGGGTTCTCATCATCATTCTCGCGTACGATTAACAACTTGCAGAAATCAAGCACCAAAAAGGCGTATGATAGGGGATTGCCATAACAATTCACCAAAAAACAACCATCACTTTTGGAAAAATGTTATTTTCTAAAAGATTTGTAGGAACTGTTAACTATTAATTATTGAAGCAAATATCAAATTAATGATTGGCTGAACAACAGGCAACACGTGTTTTTGAAATCCAACAATAGGGTTAGAAAACACAAAATAGAGATTTTGACTCTACACATGACGTAGACAAGACAATGACATGAGTCAAAGTCAAGCATTGGTGAAACATGGGATTGTGACATGACGAACACAGGTATAGAACAATAGCAAAGTATACAACTAATTATTGACAAATGTGGTGTGGAAGGGATACGAATGGGGAGGAGAAGAGCAAATCCTGAAAATAAATTTCCATGAATATGAGTTGAAATTGAGGGTATATTGAGACACATACACAGACAGTTCTAAAATTCCATATGTCTGCCAAAAGGAAAGATTATTGAAATTATTGGAAATTTTCGAAATTCTTTCTTCCTTGAATAACGATTCTGTTGTTTCTCACATTTTGATTGAAAATTTATTTTCAGGTTTTGCTCTTCTCCTCCCCATTTGTATCCCCTCCACTCCTAATATGTCAATAATTAGTGGTATACTTTGCTATTGTTTTATACCTGGGCTCGTCATGTCATAATCTCATGTTTCACTCATGCTTGACTCAAATTGAGCTTGACTATGGACATTGACAACAATTCCACAACTATAGTAGCATCAAATTTTTCAGCTCCAATTAGGCTGGAGATGGTCTATAATAAGACCGAAACATGTTCCTCATGATTTCGTTATAACATCGTAAAAATTTGTGAAGATGACTTCGAGCATTCCTTCCTCCTTTTGAGAAATTTCACTCCACTTTGAGCAATATGGACTTCTACCAAAGATCAATCCTGTTTGTATTGTAGAACTTTCAATAAGGCTGAAGATGATGATCTTCTATAAGACTGATGGTTTAACATCTTAATTGCATTTTGTGGAGACGATCTCGAGCTTCCCTCTCTTCCTTCAAGTATATCTATGATATGTTTCATATCATAATAGCCTATTTTTGAACCTTGATAAATGCATCACAATCACATATACCAGGAACAAGAATAAACTCGATTATACATACAAAATCGAAAATCATGAGCTGAAATCAGTATCGGAAGTTGAAGATCTCGGGGTAATAATGGACTCCAAATTGCCATTCAAATCGCACATAGAAAAAAAAATCAACGAATTCAATGAAATCTTAGGTTTTTTAAAAAGAAGTTTTCACAGTTTTAGGAATATAAAATGTCTTTTGAGTATTTATTATGCTTACGTGCACAGTAAACTCTGTTACGCATCCGTTGTTTGGAATCCCCAATATCAAATCCATATTGACAGAATTGAGAGGGTACAGAAAAAAATCCTCAGATTTATTGCCAGATCTATTAACAATTTTCAAACTAATGAAAGGACTAGCGCAAACCATGTTTCGAAAATTGAATTCATTATTCAGAGTAGATGACTTAGACGCCTAGACATTTTCAAAATTCCTTTCAAAAAACAAACGCTGCCCAAAATTCACCATCATGTAGGATGCTCAGAATATTCAACAACACCTGTAATGACCTGTATTATTTCGAACTAAGTCTGGATTGTTTCAAATTCAAAATGGAAAGATATTTCATCGACCATCTCTAGACCATCTCCAGGTTGTTGCATTGATCGCATTCATTTTCACTGTATATGTATACCATTTCCTCCAATACTCTCAAAACCACTTTGTTAGTTAGTTAGTTTTACTTTTAGTTATTTTGTTTATAATATATTTCAATTTTTGTTGAGCCCACTAGAAATTTATGTAGAGGGTTCTGTTTTGGATTTTCAATCTGTTTGTAACCCCTATTTTGGTAAATAAAATAAATAAATAAATATCATAAAACCTATAGGCACTTTGCATGGTGAAATTAAGGATTTTACATCGGAATGATAATTCATATTCGAAATCGGAACTCAGTACATTCACTTTCCCCTCTGTTCTCTATCCCATTAAAATTCATTAAGGAAAAACCATCTGCGAACAATGCCTCAACAAAATCTGTCGAAAATTGATGTCTTGTTCTTGGTGAAAACACATGTCCTCACCTAAATGCGTACTAAGTAGTCGTGTATCAGTTACATCTCGCATAATTAGCGTACACCAAAAGGGATGTTCTCGGTGCAACTTTGGTACACCTGTTACACAGGTAATAAATAGCAATGCCGTAGGGGATCGGAACTTTGGGCGTTTTTCTTTATTGCTCTCGTCGTGGTATTTGGCACATACAAAAGACCACCGTGAAAAAATATGTTTATACGGATATTTAGGACTGACCGTGAGTGGAGATAATGATAATATTATGGGTGAAGAAGCGTATGGAATTATTAAAGCTTTCTTATCTGTTCATCTCGTTTGGTATTTTTGTGGTGTATGAGAGGTTATACGTTAATGTGGAAATAATTGATTGAATAGGCCAACCTTATAATTTGATGAGATTTACTACTTTATATACAAGGATTTTTAAATCAATTATTATACCATTGGCATTTTCATGAACCACTCATTCAAGATAATTTTTCTCATTTCTCTTTTCTTCCGAAGATAAATCGGAAATCATTGTATGGATTCACAACTATCTTGATCTTAATGAGGAATTGATGATGGGGTTTACTGATTATTGAATACAAGGACTAGCGCAAACCATGTTTCGAAAATTGAATTCATTATTCAGAGTAGATGACTTAGACGCCTAGACATTTTCAAAATTCCTTTCAAAAAACAAACGCTGCCCAAAATTCACCATCATGTAGGATGCTCAGAATATTCAACAACACCTGTAATGACCTGTATTATTTCGAACTAAGTCTGGATTGTTTCAAATTCAAAATGGAAAGATATTTCATCGACCATCTCTAGACCATCTCCAGGTTGTTGCATTGATCGCATTCATTTTCACTGTATATGTATACCATTTCCTCCAATACTCTCAAAACTACTTTGTTAGTTAGTTAGTTTTACTTTTAGTTATTTTGTTTATAATATATTTCAATTTTTGTTGAGCCCACTAGAAATTTATGTAGAGGGTTCTGTTTTGGATTTTCAATCTGTTTGTAACCCCTATTTTGGTAAATAAAATAAATAAATAAATATCATAAAACCTATAGGCACTTTGCATGGTGAAATTAAGGATTTTACATCGGAATGATAATTCATATTCGAAATCGGAACTCAGTACATTCACTTTCCCCTCTGTTCTCTATCCCATTAAAATTCATTAAGGAAAAACCATCTGCGAACAATGCCTCAACAAAATCTGTCGAAAATTGATGTCTTGTTCTTGGTGAAAACACATGTCCTCACCTAAATGCGTACTAAGTAGTCGTGTATCAGTTACATCTCGCATAATTAGCGTACACCAAAAGGGATGTTCTCGGTGCAACTTTGGTACACCTGTTACACAGGTAATAAATAGCAATGCCGTAGGGGATCGGAACTTTGGGCGTTTTTCTTTATTGCTCTCGTCGTGGTATTTGGCACATACAAAAGACCACCGTGAAAAAATATGTTTATACGGATATTTAGGACTGACCGTGAGTGGAGATAATGATAATATTATGGGTGAAGAAGCGTATGGAATTATTAAAGCTTTCTTATCTGTTCATCTCGTTTGGTATTTTTGTGGTGTATGAGAGGTTATACGTTAATGTGGAAATAATTGATTGAATAGGCCAACCTTATAATTTGATGAGATTTACTACTTTATATACAAGGATTTTTAAATCAATTATTATACCATTGGCATTTTCATGAACCACTCATTCAAGATAATTTTTCTCATTTCTCTTTTCTTCCGAAGATAAATCGGAAATCATTGTATGGATTCACAACTATCTTGATCTTAATGAGGAATTGATGATGGGGTTTACTGATTATTGAATAGATTTGTCTCAATCTGTGATAAATGTAACAAGTTATCTTGTCTAAATAGCAGAAAGTTTTACATTATCTATACGAATACAATTTTTTTTCCTGATTGATACACTTTGGAATCATGAATACTGATATAATATTTGTTGAATTTGTCACAACCTTTATCATTTCGATTTTGTGTTTTCCATTGATGAGACAAACTCGAAATCATATCTCCACAACGTTTAATATCCTTATGAATCAAGGGGACATGTTTCGGACATCAAAAGTGCCTATCATCAGCCGCGAACGAAATGATCGTGAAAAAACTTTTGCCTGATAACTTAGATATAAAAATCATCAAAGAGGAATTGCCGTTGGGTATGATTTATACCCAACGGCAATTCCTCTCGTGTGAAATTAAAAAAATGTTATGTGACTCGCTTGTACTATCACATTTCAATCATTGCGATGTCGTGTATGGTCCCTGCTTAGACAGTAATGATTCTAGACGTATTCAGAAGCTTCAAAATTCATGTGTTCGATTGGTTTACGGAATAAGAAAATATCACCACATCTCAGGAAAATTTAAGGAAATGAAATGGCTGAATATGTACAACCGTCGAACTCTACATTTTGCATGTTTGGCCCATACAATCTACACTTTCAAAACACCCCCCTATTTACATAACAGACTCACTTTGAGAACAGATGTTCATAATCTGAATATCCGACAAAAAACCCTTCTTCGTGTGCCGAGACATAAAAAAATTATTTATAAACGCTCGTTCTCTTATGGTTTGGCAGTCTGTATCAACAATCTGCACAGATTAGATCCTTCACTGCTATCATCTTCTACCGAATCATTCAAAGTTAAATATAAAAAGTATCTTTTGTCCACGCAGAAATGATCTTACAAATCAACTAATCTTTGTTGTTACTCACTTTCCCTATATCTTTTTCCTTTTTTTTTCTTCTCGCTCTCTACTTTTTTCCTCTCCCTCTTGGTTCCTATCATTTTCTTTCAAAATATCGTTTCTTTACATTCAAATTATCATTTGCTTCTCAAATTTCTTTCTTCAATTTCACTGGCACTGGTGGAAGAACAGGGGTGGATTAGTCCACAACTGAACCAGTTATAGCCATTTATCCACTTGAATTCTGTTATATTACGTACCCTGTACTATTTAAATATTTTGTGGATAATAAATGTATTATTCTTATTATTATTATTATTACAATCCTGAAATGGATCAATCCTCCAAAACATGTTCATGACCTTTGGTAAATATTTCATTGTTTTGATGTGGTGGAGTTGTGATTGTAACATCTCTGTCCATTCCAGATTGATATCACCTCCACTATGAGTTATTGTTGACTTGGTAGCCTTATTTATATTTTTCGTCGACCACCACAGCGAATGAAAAATCCACTATTTCTCATCGCGAGTTCTTTTCATTCGCAGACCCGCAGAAATTTTATATATTATGCACTTCGGTGAAAATCTGTTTATTGTTTCGCAAGTAGTGCCAAAGTGGGTGGTTGTGGAACTCTATGAAAGTACATTGTTTTGAAATGGTTCATCTGCTTGTATGTATTATTTCAATTTTTTTGATGATGTAAGCAATGAAAACTTAACGTTCGACTGTTTATTCGTGTACCCTTGTGATTCATGGAAGCTTGTGAGCAGATATTCGTTCAATAAAGTATGTTTATTCCCTACTTCAAATTCATAAGATTCTCCATGCCCCAATTTGAGCTAAGTTAGTTTGCATTTCGTAATAAAATATATATCGTAAATAAGAGGATTGAATTTGATGTTGAATTCACAGAGTAGGTATTGAAGATGTATATATTGTTGTAGATGCATCTATTCATGAAATAATGAGAGAGAAAAAGTCCTCAAAGCTGGATATATGTGCGAATACTTATTGATCTACCTCTGATAGAGGCACAATTGAAAATACGTGCTTTGCTTTTGAGGATACGGATTTCATCGTTTTCAAATTCCATCTGTAAGTTTTCACTAAAATTCTCTTATGGAAATGAAATTCAACTGTATTCTATCTGGAAGTTGAGAGAACATCTTTCAATTATATGCTGATTGAGATTATCATTCTATGTGAAATGCAGAGATAAAACTTTCATGGGCAACATGCGACAAACCGAGCCAATGTTTCAAGAAATTGTATTGAGGAATTCATACTTGAAAAATGTCATAATGACTTTAAACTTTATTTGATAAAATGCATGGAAATTTGAATGTTAACAAACATTCAATGTACTTTTTTACGGCTATATAACACAATGAGATTCCTATTGTTTTACTGTGTTCGATACATCAATGAGGTACTTTGTATGTCATCAATTTTATTTCCGTATACCTCATGTCACAATGACCCTATTCCCCAAACTCATCGCCGATGGAATGTCAAATTTCAAGCAATGACAGCTTTGTCTAATAGATGAGCATCACTTGCCAGGCAATCAGATGACGAAGAAATCGAAAATGTCGCTGCTGTCTATTATAGCCGTAGAGAAATTATAATGTGCACGGAAATCACGGAATGCTAATTTCTTACTCGAATGATTGTATCATTGGCCTATGTCTCATGCTGCAAACTTCATGCTCATAGGAAATCACTCTCATTCCGTGCTCGTTAAACAATATACTATTTCATTAGTTGCTTGAATATCCGCAAGACGGAGTATCGTTTAATAAACAGTTCTTTGTCCTTGGTACATAAATAATTGAATAACTACTATTTCCAGTATCTTCGACATCGGCAGCGATAACCAGTTCGGTATCCTCCTCGCCCTCGTCTGTCGTTCCGCCTTCCCTTGGTCCTGCAGCCCTTCGCGAGCTGTACGGCAACGCAGCAGGCGCCCCAGGCCATCCTTTGGCTTCGTTGGTTTCGCAGCAGCGGTTTCTGGAGCTGTCCCGGTTCGGATTGAGGCACTACGACCTCGCGCAGCACATGCTCACGCAGCAAGGAGCCGTTACCAAACTGCTTGGTAAGTTGATTCAGAATATGTCATAAGACATCTCGAGTTACCAGAAATGATTATAGTGTGTTCCAGTTAAAACATGTCAACCCCCTCATCTCCGAAGGTAGACCACAAAAATCTGAGTTTTCATCTACTCACTGCATCGAAACTAAGCGTTTGCTCCCGCATTTAAGGACACCAACCTGTCAATTTACTACCACGGGAGTAAACAGAATTTTATTACCTACCGTGGGGGGTAAAATTAGTGTTGCCGTCTCGGTTGCCGTCTAGACTGATACATTCTAGACTCTTGTCTTGTCTTGTCTAGAATATCAAGACAAGATCATCAATATGTTTTGTCTAGATTATCTAGACAAGACAAGACTTTTCATTTTCCATACAAGACTTTTATTCAAAACTCTTGATTATTTTCAAATCTATATTACAAATACGTCGTTTCGCTGGCGCGGCTATGATTTGTTTTGATTGGTTCCCAGAGAGCGGGAGTTTGCATGCACTTGACTTTTTCTACGCAATTTAAGCTAAGCGTCTTATCTAGAGTCTTGAATAATAATCTAGACTTTCGTTATCTAGACAAGACCGCACTTAGCTTATTTAATCAAGACTTACGCGTATACAACTCTTGAAATTTCAAGACAAGACAAGAGTAGGTAAACTCTTGTCTTGTCTTGTCTAGATGGCAACACTAGGTAAAATGAATCGGCTTCAGCTTGCTTCCTTGGTAGAGAAATACGTATATAAGATATGTTCTACCCAGGTACCTAATCAGTGTCTCCTTTAACATAATAAAACAAATAACAATTCCAAAGTCTAATACACTCATACAATTCCTTATTTTCCAAACCCACGCAATCGAAAGTCGAAACTATAAATAAAATGCAATATCACAATAAACAAACTCAATATGGATCATGAATTACTTCTTTCTCACGGGTAAAAAGTGATATACACTGTACACTGTTGATGGATTCTGTTGTGCCATAGTTTCGAAAAATAAGCCAATAACACCGTTTCCGAGAAAGAACTGCAGGTCCTTTTATCTTCCATTTGACTTCGCAGTTACGTATATTACTGAACAACCACTAAATTCGCAATTTTTGGAAATCAAATCACAGAATTAGACTGACAGATATTTGATAACTTCAAAAGATGGATGAAGATGCCTACTAAAAGATCCCTGGAAGGCAGGTGTCATTACTGTTAAAAACATCAAATTTCACGTCGATAATTTTCTAAATTTGATATAATGTAATATCTTCTCGATATTGATTCATCTGTTTTCCTGTCACAGAAAATATTTTGATGTCACAGAAGAAAATAGTGCATTATACACGGAAAAAAACATGATTTTAGATCACGGTTTATTGCCTTCCTCCGCTACGCCTCGGGAGACAACACAACCTGGAGTTAAAATCTACTTCTTTTTCCCCTTGTATAATAAATGACTGATTATTAAAAAGCGATGCGTGTAACTACTTTCGGCCTACGGCCGTAGGCATCGTTTGTTAATCCATTTGTTTTGTTTGTCTGTTTGTTTTTCTGTATCGAATAGGCTTCGGAAATACTTGACCGATTTGAAAACTTGTTTCACCAATAGAAAGCAACACTATTCCTGATGAAAAAACGCTACTTTTTACGACAAAAAATGCGTCATTCCTACAGGAAAACGGGTAATATATAGGACAACTGGTATAAAGTAAGAATTAGCTTTCCGTAGGTACTTACCTTTTTCACATATCGCACTTCTGAACGGCTGAATCGTTTGGGTTGAAATTTTATATGGATATTTCGCTATGGTTTCCTTGATGATTTGGAAAAAGCAATGGGCAATGGGACGCGGTAGGTGGCGCTGCTGTCGGTGTGTCAAATACTTAACGGCTTGACGAATTAGGTTGAACTTTCCATTACTTTAAACAAAAAAAAAATATACAAAAGATACTGGGAGGATGAAAGTAGATGTGAGCAAGTATCTATATAATAGTATAGCTATAGGTATAAGCACAATGAATTGAAAATAATAAAAAATATATGTACTGTAGATACGCGCATAGCTCAGAAAGACTGCAAAGAATGTTTTATTTTTTCGACATGCAAAAAGACACTTTGTGTTTTGTGGGATCTCGCTACGCTCGTCCTGCACAATCCCATCGTCACAAAATAACGCGTTTCCTTACTATGGTTTCGTGAGTATCTATTCTGTCGTCCACCGATTTGAGTTTTTGTCTTTTTCTTTGAAAAAAACGTCATTATTGTGCTGTCAACGCCCCTATCCTCAGCAACTCTCACTTCAGACTTTTCAATAGGACTACTGTATACTTGTGATACATCACCTCGAAGATAATTCAATCTCGAAAACATCGGTTTACTTCAATTAAGAATCTAAGTGTTGTGGGAGTTTTGATGAGAGTTGAGTGTTTATTTTTCATTTTCTGAAATTATATCATCCTATGGAAGGTTGAAATGTGAACCATTCAGTTCCATACAGAAGTAAGTATATGAGCGATTTTCTAATCGTATTCCCACATTTCTGGAGTCACTCTGTACGATACTCATTTACAATTCTTTTGCTTAGATCATATAAGGAGAATTGGAATGTGTGGTATCAACTCTGGATTCCCAATGTCTCCATGAAAAGAAGTGATAAATACCAAGCTATATTCTTTTGATCCGCGTCTTCCAATTCATTTTTCTGTGAAGTTGTCTACTGAAAATTGACGTATAGGTGCAACAAAATTTGGAGAAGCTCCATCTTGAAAGGATCCTAGCACCAACATTCAATTTCTGAGGAGTTCGTGTACTAATGAGAATTTACGTCACTCTAGTATCTGCTGTTGCGCCTGTTCAAATACCCATTCAAAAAAGAAGAAGATTCGTCAAAAATCACATATTGCAGAGGTAATTATTATCTCCAACTATAAACGACTAATGATTTCACATCTGTATGTCTTTCAGGCCCATCTTAGTTCGATTCATGTACGTTCCCCATTTTATAAGGATATAATATTGCTTCTTTCAGCTATTCAGAATATATCTTCTCGAGAATCTTCTTACTTTCCACTTGATCACTAGATCACCTGATTTATCACCGTGTGGAGTTCTTTACACCCTCTGTTTACATCAATTATTATAAGTAGATGCCTCGGTAGATGCGTATGTCGTGCAGTGATTTCATAATAATTGAGAAATGTGTGGATACATTTCGACATTATCTTCTTCATAGTACTGAATATGGTTGAACCTTTCAAATGATTCAGTTGATGAAAAACCTTGATAACACTTCTACAGCGCTCGATTGATTCTCATTTGCATTACACCAATACATTTGAGATTTAATTTATTCCAAAATGATGTTTCACGGGTATCGTAATCCAATTGAAACATGAAAATCGACGCGTCTGATCGATTTTCAATTCTTTCTATGACTTCGGAGATAAGGAGAGTGACAAGTTTCAGCTGAGACACACTGAATTTATGTTATCATGAGCTCAATCTGTCCCTATCTCCTCCATGGTATAAGCATACAAGTATGCCTCGTGTCTCAAATCATTCATTCATACAATGAATTCAATGAAATATTCAAGAAAACTTCACGTACATATTAGCACCATCGCAGACATTGACGTCATATCACGTCATCGACTTTAGTTTCATCAGGGCACCAAGATAAGGTCAAGTGTGCTCAGATTGTCACATCGATTGAATTAACTCTCTCACACGTAGAAATAAGCAACAAGTAGCTTTAGAATGCAATTTCCCAAATGATCAGAAATACTGAAAAAAATAACTGAGACTTCATAAACCGCATCATGTATAAATGGAATGCAAAACAATACATTTGGAACGAAATATATAGGGAAACGGAATGCTCTGGTGAAAATAACCAAAATGGCAAAAAAACTGCTTATCTATAAATCTCCACAAACAAAATTCTGCGAGCATTTTTTAACACAAGGTGTCTAGAGGGACACTCCGAAAACTCACCTCAAATTGACGCGCAGCCGCGCTAAACATATTCACAGCACTATAAGCCTGTGACAACATCGACTTGCGTTATTTTTTTCCTCCACCAATGAAATTCCGCAAACATTTTTCCACAAAAGGTGTCTAGAGGGACACTCCGAACACTCACCTATACAAAATTGACGTGGAATCACGCTGAACGTATGTACAGCGCAATGAACCTTTGACGGCAACTGCCGTCAGTGCCTGGCAGACTGAAGAGCAGTTGCGGCATATGCCGCTAAGGCCCAATAATGCATATGAATATGAGTGTCCGCGAACGTGTGCGAATTTGAGACCTATCCAAATAATGGACCTTCATTCTCATACTTAGTAGGTACGAATGTCGGCTATGGACAGGCGCGTATAAAGCTTTGTTGCGGGGGAGAGGGGGGAAGAGAGGGGTGACATAAAGCAAAAAAAGCTCTGCAGGTGAAATTTTGTTGTTGTTCAAGGTTAAATGTATTTAAATCGATATTTAGGTTTTTCAGCGGGGTGTCATGAGGTTGAAAAAACAAGATTTCAAATTCAGTTGGAAATTTAATATTCCTGAAGGCAACAATAATCGAATTATGAATGCCCAGTGTTCTTCGACTCGAAAGAATACTTGAGTGTTAGTCGGTAAGACAATTTAATGGATACGCTAAATCACATAATTGCGCATTATTGATGATGGTTTTTTGAATTTCTCGCGACGTTTCGACAGATTAAATACTTTTCTGACAACGCAAGTTTGAGGAAACATGACATACAAACCATCAAAATTTGTTTAAAATTTTGGTGGTCATTTTTTTCAAATGTTAAATTCTACTGAAAAAGTTAGGGCAAACTTTTTCATCTATCAGAATGACAAAATCACGGCAACTGACGGAATTTTATATACAAAATATAAATTGAATTTTCAAAATCACAAACGAACTTGCACGCTGCAGTTTTGGCATTTCTCAGTTTCTAGGAAGAAATAGATAAGACAGTAGTTACGTGTTGAATGAAATGAGATTCATTGTGTAAATCAGAATGTTAATTTCGATTGGAGAATGACTGAATTTCCTTCGATCGTCTAAGGGAGAGGGGTAATCATTACTTCCCCCCTTCTATACGCGCCTTGCTATGGAGAGAAATCTAGCCATTTAGTCATCTGAAATAGTGATTTCATCAGAAAGCTTTCATAATGATAATATGAAATTGGGGTTCAAAAACGTGCATTATTTCAAGATACCTATTTTCAACTGTCCCATTGGTGCATGAGCGCGTTGCAAAATTGATAGCTATGGATATTACCATTTTCAATCTCAATTTTGTAACGAACTCATCATTGCTCATGTAGTGGCCTAATTTTTATATATCATATCTTTTATTAGTTTACAACACTAGAAAGTGATTTCGAGTGCATGACACAATGATTCGATTCATCATCATTATTATCCCTATGCTACATGAATAAGTCATCGAAACAACGGTTAAGTATCTGTTTTTTTCTCACTATTTCATCAACTCAATGAGTTATTGAAAGATAACCAAATGGGATCACCCTATAGATGAAGCTGCTCTGGTTGTGAATAAAAAACGTCCTTCCGTTCAAATTAACATACGAGTAGAATCGGAATCGGTGATTTGTGATGTACAATAATAAAATATTGTCATCAACCAGTAATTCAGGTATCCCCAGATCAAAAAAGGTGTTCAGATCGGCACACCGAAAAATAAAAAGACCGATAAAATCAGTCGGTGGCTAAGCTGAAGCACGAAATATTTCCCGATCGCCGTATTGTTGTCCAAAGGGCAAAAACGCTCAGCCATAAATCGTTGGCTAATTGTTGGTGAAAAGCAACCACAATTTATACAGTCTGGTTACGAGGATTTATATCTATAATTCTTAATAAATGATAGGATTTGAAAGTAATCCAAAGATTTGTTATAGGTTTTAATTGCATATCACCGGTCTCGATTAAGATCTTTGTTTTTTACGGGTGCTCCTCGATAACCATCGACTTAATCACGGACATTATAGAAGCGAGAATTATTCGTCCACAAGTGGCAATTAGATGAGGCCTTCCGAAGTGTCTTCTTAGATCATCCATCATGTGTACGCATAATTATGGGATCTGTGATTTGTTTGGGAATGAACCATATTCGAATTTGAGAGTGATTCATGAGATATACGGGTATACTATGGGAATATTAAAAGAAATGTACAGCGTGCCAATAGTTTTAAGGTTCAGAGGAGAAGGGAGCCAAAAATACTTTCAGTTAGTGCGTTAGTCCTGAAACATCAATCGTGTCATCCACCACCACTGAGCCCCTGAGCATTCTAGTCCCATTTCCTTAAGGAAGCTTGACATATGAGATTTTTATAGATTGTCGTTATGCTTTCTGTTTCTGTAGAGTGTAGCATTCTGGCAGAGAGTTTACCCCACAAAATTTGCATTCCTTGGCCTCCACTTCTAATCCATATAGACTTTTGAGCTTTTTTTCCATTCAACAAAACATTTTCAGGATTTTTATCAGTATTCATAACTTGTTCTTTATCAGGTTAATACAATCGTTAGACAATCTCTGATTGTGATAGCTACCAGACATGTTTTGCTATGTCTCATCTCTTGTAATAATTTTCAGTAATTGGATCATCTGTTTTCTCTTTTTCTATTCGGATCTTCCTATATTACATTTACACAAATGCCGCAAGAACGGTTCAAGCAGTTTGTGTGCTATCTCGTTTTACTTTACTCAATCGTGTCCTAGAACTTATTCGAATGGTAACCGGAATATTTCCATAAAACTTATGCAGTTCTCAGTTCAGACATTTCCAGCATATCTTCAAGCTAATAACTTGAACTGAAATAAATATATAGCCCTTCCTGGCTGATTGATGGTGTTATCTTTTGATTGAACTGGGCGTATCTCCTATGGCCTGAATTATCGCTTGGAGTGAGCTTGGTAACATATACAGCACAGCAAATACGAAGTAAATGGTTTCGGATCCGCATACTTCATCATCAGTTAATTTTACGCTCCTGAAACCATCTGTATCTCCATCTGTAGAGCATCGACGAGATATCTCCATTCCATTGACTCCTGTTGCCATTTCAGCAGTCAACTCATTTACGGAATTTTACTTCATTTCATCTTCTGATCTTGAATCATACCCTAGATTTGTTCAATTGCCAGCAAGAAAATATGCTTGACCTAACGTTTCTTCCTTTGATCATTTGGCAAGAGTTTGGTTGCGTCACATTCTACTATAATGCTACCGTATTTGGGGCAGGAATTGTGCCACTGATTTCAGAGATGAAAAGGGACAGCATTACGTTGAACCATAAAGAATCAGTCCTCGGAGCATAGCGAATCTGATCAATTCTATTTGCAGATGACGTCGAATTCAATCAGTGGTGAATAATACGACTGAGTGAACTTTCAATCGATTTATATGTACAATTTTTCGACGATATGTGTTCATCATCAACCACAAATATTAATCTAATATCCTTCAATTGAGAAATATTCCATTAAGGAAACGATTCTGTACTAAGAGAGGTAATGGGTATATATTCACATGGACACGAAATCATATTATTAGAGAATTACGAAGAAAACTTTTTTTTGTAAAATATGGAATGTGATCATCGAAATTTTGCATGCGAGAAAATCAATTTCAACATGAGAAGCCATCTTGTAGGCAGTGGAATCGATCACAGGCAGGACCTACAAGAATGAAAAAATGTGAAAATTCTAAAACTTAGAATAGATTAACCTCACACTGTCATCTCGTTCAGAAATTTCACTATATACCCATTTGAGAACCTGAGAGAAATACTATCTATTATTGTCAGTGACCCCTTGTTTTGAAAAATGTTTGAAGAATAGGAATATAGATATAGATATAAATTATCGAATAATATCATCTGATTTGTCCATTTTTTATCACTTGGAGCGCACGAAAGGAAATTCCTATAATGTTCGTGGA